AAGCCTATTGGTTCTGAGTATCGTCATTTACATGGATTACCTGAAATTCACAAACCAAACATTTGTTTACGCCCAATTTTATCAGTGTGTCGATCACCTACACATAACCGAGCTAAATTACTGGATCCTGTTGGAACACGTTTATATAAGTATTCTGTGAAGGATTCTTTTGAGTTGGTCAATCATGTAAGTGATATTAATATCAAGAGAAAGACAATGTGTTCATTTGACGTGAATTCCCTGTTCACAAATATACCACTGAAAACGACTATTGATATATTATGTGACCACATATCTTTGAACAGCCTTAAAACACTACCTGTTGCTTTAAAAATCCTTAAAGATTTAGCACTACTATGTATTGACAACGTCCAGTTCATGTTTGAAGGTGAATAGTTTTGCCAGGTCGACTGGTTGCTATGGTTGGTCCATTAGACCATTATTAGCAGACGTGTTCATAACACACGTTGCAAATCTAGCTGAAGACCTAGTCGTAAACATGTCTGTTTATAAGAGATATGAAGATGACATCTTAGTTATCTGGGAAAGAAATAACGATATGGATTGTTTATTGAGTAGACTTAGCACTCTGCAGAATCACATCAGCCTTTCATGTGAAGAGGAGAAGAATGATCGGCTTCTCTTCTTAGATATGCTAATAAGTAGACGAGAAGATGGTTCAAGCAAACGATCCATCTTTCGAAAACCAACATTGACGGGCCAATACCTTGGTCACAATAGTTACTACCCGGTGCAATACAAATGAGGTTCGATGAGCGGTCTGTTTAATAGAATTAATCGTGTTCGCACAAACGACGCTATTGATGGGGACGTTAGGTTGTTAAACAAAACACTAGTGGAAACTGGCTATCCCTTAAAATTCATAAATAGATGAAAAGGTCACGGTATACTGGGGCCTACTATAACCTTGGCAGAAAGAAACCTGTCTACATCATTTTTCGATTTAGAGGTGATTCAAATAGCTTTTTACTGAAACAAAGGCTTAAATAAGTTGCTAACAGGACGTATTACGCAGCAAAGGTCTTTATGAAAGAGAAAACAATGTCCATGTCTCAGCAAAAACGTAAAAGACATGGAAACGATTGCGTCACATGCCACTGTGTTTATCGATTTGAATGTGTGTGTGGCCACATATACATGTGGAGGAGTAATCGTGATCTCCAAATTAGGGTGTGCGAACATGTACCTAAGTGGTTGCAAAAACAAATAAAATCAAGTGATCCAATAAGAGTAGATGATGAACATCCATTCATGGAGGAAATTCACTGACTAACGTTAATATTCGTAATAATAACAATAATAGTATTAATAATATCACTACTACTACTACTACTACTACTACTACCACGATTTCTACTATTGCTGCTCCTGTTTATCCAAGATCAGATACTGTCGTGAACGCTCAGTACTCGAGACTCCTTAGAATATGTGCTCTGACATGGTCGACTTCCTGGAATTTATTATTCATGAGAATTCCATGCGATTTACATTCATCCCACAGTAACACGTACGATACCCCATACACTATTGACCGGTGAAACAATCAAAAACACAAATGTGAATAGTTAGAAAATTTATTTTCATTTTTTATATTACAAAATGGACATGACGTCCAGGCTTTTTGATTGCTTGGCCTGGACGTTTTAAACATGTCCGGGTTTTGCATAGCTTCAAATCATTGTTTGGCATTTTGCTGCCTGATGGTGTGCGTCTTCCATGAGAAACCGTGTTTCTTTCTTTTATTTGTTTGTCATAATCAGTAGGTTCTTTTGTAGAATAGTGATAATAATAATAATTACAACAGTTGCAGTAACAGTAATAGTGATAATTGTAGTAATAGTAGTAGTAATCACAATGATAGTATTGGTAGCAGTAGTAGTAGTAGTTGCAGTAGAAATAGTGGTAATAGCAATCATTGAGACAGTTTTGTCCACAATCTATATGACGGTCCATAGATATAGTCACTTATTTGCGAGCGTTATATAATTAGACCGCTCAGCAAATGCGTTTTTACAAACTGATTATCATCGCTCTAGACTGATATTATATAGACTTGACATATGTTTAGACTATTTCCATTCAAATTTGAATAGAAAATGTCAATCGAGTCACGTGACTGTAAATCAATCAAGAATGTATGTTCGAAATCAATGTCATTTATGAGAAGGATGATGAAAGTAAGGAGTAAAATGACGGAAAACGTTAGTCAGTCAGCCATTTACGTTAGTCATGAAGGCTGATTTGGTGAGCATAATCTCATTCTGGAATAAGAATGAAAAACGTGAGTTTAGATTAAGCAAATGGTCAGAGTAGAGGTGGACATTGTACAAACATCTCAGGATAAGAAGGATGATCAGGTTCGTTCATACACTGCTTTCGGACTGGTTGGAATATGACTGACATTTTCACGAGAACTAAATTTAACATCAAGTAGACGGGAATTCGGTCGACCTTGAGGATGCAGTATAGTCGTCCGTAATAAGAATAATAGTAGGTCAGATGACCTGTGTTAATCCTGGGTGTATGCTTACCAGTGAAGATTCAGTTTTCCTGGTAGACTCCTTCATATCCGTGTATGTTCTCTAATTTTGGTCCGAGTGTAGATTGTTATTATTGTTGTTGTTGTTGTTGTCACTTTGACCAAGGCACCTCTGGATGTGTCCGATGCTGTGAGAGTATTTTCGTGGGGTGTATCTCAACTCATTGGCATCGGCCACACTGTTTTGGCAGTTTCTGTCGAGGTGAGAAAGTCCATCTATCAGTACAGTTATCCGCGCGATTTTGAACAAGTGAGTGAGGCTATCGACCATCTACGGGAATTATAATTCAGAGTATGAGTAATCGGATGATAGTGGTTGTTGATTGAACTGATCATTCAGTTGATAGCGGACACGTGTAACAAGTGGAAGCTAATGAAGTAAGTGATTTTAATTTTAGTTCTGTTTTGTGTTTAACTAAATTTTTTTATGGTGTAGATAATTGTGAACTTGAGACAGGTAGTTGCAATTTGGACACCGATGATTCCCTGAATAATGATGACTCTGTAGATAAATGCTGATTTCAGATAAGCGAAGAAAGCGAGAATAAGAATTTTGAACAATAGAGAGGATCTGACAATTACAATTACAATGAACTAAGAGCACATTATAGACACGTGGACAGACAAACAGTCTGTGTCAGTTGTGGTAATCGGACAATATAATTACTGTACAGTTAAATGTTTTTTGTTGTCTTTTAATCTGTCATAATTATCCAATACAATTTTGTTGAGACTACTTGGAATTGGACTTCTTGATTGGGTGTTGTGGAAGTTCTAGACTATTTGAGATTGTTGGTAATTCGTCAGACCATTTCGAATCCACAGACAATCATGCTGGTAATGAAAGTGAATGAAAGCGAAATATTTATTGAATTGCAGTCGAAATAACTAAAGTTTGATGAATATGTATCCGTGTCACGTTCGAACTTGTTGGTTTAGCAGAGGGCATGAATTAGTTTTTATGTGGATGTAGGATTTCACCTGTTCTTACTTACTTACTAATTGACATCCAGTGTCGGATACTGGATCAACTGAGTACGCTAACCCCTACGTCTTTAAATAATCAAAGCTGAGACAAAGCTAAACTGTTGGATATAGCTCACCAATTCCTTAATCGTGGACCAAAGCAGAGAAGCATATTAACTATTCAGTATTTTAAATCACTAAAATAAGTAGGAACAAACCCTGATATTGCCTTGTTAAAGCCTGATAAGAGATCAGGCGTGATTGTCAAGAACAAATGTGAATGTAATAGTAAGACATTATCCATTCTCAGTGATGAAAGTAAATTTATGCCTGATGGTGAATTTGCAGGTATTAGCAAAGTAGAGGGAAGAATAAATTCAAACCTAGTGAAACTGTTACACATGAATATTATTGGTAGAGAGGAATTTAATTTCCTAAAGCCTATTGGTTCTGAGTATCGTCATTTACATGGATTACCTGAAATTCACAAACCAAACATTTGTTTACGCCCAATTTTATCAGTGTGTCGATCACCTACACATAACCGAGCTAAATTACTGGATCCTGTTGGAACACGTTTATATAAGTATTCTGTGAAGGATTCTTTTGAGTTGGTCAATCATGTAAGTGATATTAATATCAAGAGAAAGACAATGTGTTCATTTGACGTGAATTCCCTGTTCACAAATATACCACTGAAAACGACTATTGATATATTATGTGACCACATATCTTTGAACAGCCTTAAAACACTACCTGTTGCTTTAAAAATCCTTAAAGATTTAGCACTACTATGTATTGACAACGTCCAGTTCATGTTTGAAGGTGAATAGTTTTGCCAGGTCGACTGGTTGCTATGGTTGGTCCATTAGACCATTATTAGCAGACGTGTTCATAACACACGTTGCAAATCTAGCTGAAGACCTAGTCGTAAACATGTCTGTTTATAAGAGATATGAAGATGACATCTTAGTTATCTGGGAAAGAAATAACGATATGGATTGTTTATTGAGTAGACTTAGCACTCTGCAGAATCACATCAGCCTTTCATGTGAAGAGGAGAAGAATGATCGGCTTCTCTTCTTAGATATGCTAATAAGTAGACGAGAAAATGGTTGTGGGAAGCCCATTTGGCTACTGTATCATTTATCTAGTTATTGTAACTCAGACTCAATTCACTATGTTAATTTCGGTGTGTATGATCGAATGTATGTCTGTACATTAACTCTTAAGCTATTTTCCTATTGGTTTCAATGTGCAGATAATCGATAATCTATCCACACCCGATTAACTCTCAAATATATATGGATTTTTAACAGACTCACTCACACTCTCTCTGTTTCATCGTGTGCTTGCTCACCGTACGCTTGTGGATTATTATTATTCATTAACAATAAACTATCTCTATAACTGGTGTTCAGGCTTTTTAATAATCTCGAGTAAATTCGCAATTCTACTAGGAGATTAAGCCTAGCTAAAATACTCAGTTACGGGATATTATTATTTGGAGTCAGATATTGAGGACATTATCCACAACATATTGGTGAACCGCTTTTAGAACACACACCATTCCTCTACGAATTCTGCTGCATACTCTCCAAGCGTATCTTAAAGAACTTCACATTGGAATTACTATTACAATTATTAACAATTCATTAACAGTCATAATAAATCCATCCATAACATTGTTCCTTTGGAATTATTGCTGTATATTCGCATATTTAAACCAAAAGTGACAGTTTTTCTTTTCGGTGAGTCTTATATATATTTCTTGTTGTTATTTTTGATTTCTCTTCATATTGTATATTACAATCCTCGGCTTATTATTACTATTGCTTCTTCGTATCATGGCACTTGATAATTCGCTAAGCCTTTCATCTAAATCTATTTCCGTGGGTGCCATCTCTGTACCTTTACCTACTTTTAATCCACGAAAGGCTGAACTCTGGTTCGCTCGTTTAGAAAGCTTTTTTGTAGCAAACAAAATCACAAACCAGAGTACGAAATTTAGTTATGCAAATTCACTGCTGCCAGATGACGTCATTGAACAAGTGCCGGATGTCATTTTTAAGCCGGATCCTGACTCACCATTCGATTGTCTAAAAAGAGAGGTCATTCGTGTCACATCTCTCACTGACCAACAGACAATCGATCAACTTTTAGCCAACGTCGAGCTAGGTGACAATACACCGTCACAGTTAAAACGCCACATGACAAACTTATTAGGAAGTCGTACAGTAGACAAACGTCTACTATATCAATTGTGGCTCAGACGTCTTCCTCAAAACATTCAACAGATACTAGCAATTGGAGACGAAGACGTTGATTTTGATAGGCTAGCAGACATAGCCGACAGAATTTACGAACGGTCCAAGACTCACCTTGTATCTCAAATCCAATCAAGTTCAGCTGACGAGATCGCCGAGTTACGACGATCAGTTGATATCCTTACGAAACAGATAGCTCACATCCAATTATTGAATGCCTCCCACAGCAAGCGTAGAGGAACATCCACAAGCCGTAGACGACGTAGTCCAAGCACTACTAGACACAACATTTGCTGGTACCATAGAACATATGGCAAACAAGCTAGAAAATGTATTCCGCCTTGTAACTTTGCAAGCACACAGAAAAAGGGACGTCAAGACCGCAGGTTAATGACGACTGCACTCACTGACCACAACTTTCAAGACAGTCGTCTATTATATGTTACAGACAAAAGAACCGGCACACAGTTTTTAGTCGACACTGGGGCAGAGGTTAGTGTAGTACCACCTACTGCACTCGAGAAAAACACACCTGACCCCAAACTAAAATTACAAGCTGCAAACAGGTCTGACATCAAGACGTACGGCAAAAGGCGGTTGCAATTAAATTTCGGTCCTAAATCTAATTTTTCCTGGAGTTTCATCATAGCGGACGTCCTCGTTCCTATAATCGGCATTGATTTTCTGCAATTCCACAAAATACTGGTAGACGTCAGAAATAGGAAACTTGTCCTTGCCGAACAGTGTAAAGAAATTAGAGGAATTATATCAAATGAGACTTCCATACATTTATTAGTTAAACCTCATCATGAGAACGACAAATACGTCAATTTACTTAATCAGTTTCCAGATTTATTACGACCGAGTTTCAAACACGACAAACCGACGCATACCGTCGTACACCACATAAAGACAGAGGGTCCACCAGTGTTCGCACGTCCAAGACGCCTTGATCCCTCTCGTCTGGCTATCGCAAAGAACGAATTCAACAAAATGATTGAGTTGGGCATCATACGCCCCTCCGATAGTCCGTGGGCATCACCGCTTCATATGGTACCTAAGAAAAACTCTTCCGAAGTTAGACCGTGCGGTGACTATAGAGCTCTCAACAGCCGGACCGTACCAGATAGATATCCTCTCCCACATCTGCATGACTTCACTCATAGCCTATCTGACGTGTCGATCTTTTCAAAAGTTGATCTCGTCCGTGCTTACCATCACATTCCAATTCATCCGGACGATGTTCCTAAAACAGCCATTACTACCCCCTTTGGACTATACGAATTCGTCCGCATGCCTTTCGGATTAAGGAATGCTGCACAAAGTTTCCAGCGTTTTATCGACCAAGTGGTACGGGGCTTACCGTTTGTGTATGCTTACATAGATGACCTACTTATAGCAAGCAAAGATGAAAATGAACATCTAACGCATTTGAAAATGCTTTTTGAGAAGCTAAACGAGTATGGGTTAGCGGTCAATCCTGACAAATGTGAGTTCGGAAAACAATCCCTCACCTTTTTAGGTCACGTACTTGATAAGCAAGGCATTAAACCAGTTCCTGAGGAAACACAAGCTATCAAAAATTATCCTTTGCCTGATTCATTCAAGAAACTACGACGTTTCCTTGGGATGATCAACTTTTACAGACGTTTTATCCCTAAATGTGCAGACTTAGCAAAACCACTAACTGATTTATTAAGGGGACGAGCTAAATCATTAGCAATGACACCGCAAGCAATTCAAGCATTTGATCAGTTGAAAAGCGCTTTAAGCACAGAGGCATTACTCGCACGACGAAAGGTTGATGCACCTTTAGCAATAATGACCGACGCTTCTAACGTAGCAGTAGGTGCTGTACTTCAGCAACGTGTCAATGAACAATGGCAACCCCTTGCATTTTTCTCAAAAAAGCTCAACGCAACGCAAACAAAATATAGCACATTCGGTAGAGAACTGTTAGCTATCTACTTAGCCATCAAACACTTTCGCTATATGTTAGAAGGCAATTCTTTCACGATATATACTGATCACAAACCTCTAACTAAGTCCTTGATGCACAATCATGATAAATACAGTCCGCGCGAAATTCGTCAACTAGAATTCATTTCACAATTTGCAGCTGATATACGCTATATTAAAGGCAATGCAAATGAGGCAGCAGATGCACTATCGAGATTAAATATCAATACCTTCTCGACCCCTGATATAGACTATCAAGAAATGGCAAAGCATCAAAAGCTCGATACGGAGCTACAAAAGCTTTTGCAGTCTAAGGAAACGAAATTATTATTCCAAAACATCCCCATTAACAACAAGGACACCTTAGCTTGTGATACCTCAACAGGTAAAACTCGCCCTTTTGTACCCTTCGGTATGAGACGAAATATTTTTGAGAAATTACACAATATATCTCATCCAGGTATAAAAGCCACTGTAAAGCTTGTCACAGATAGATTTGTATGGCCAAAAATAAACAAAGACGTAAGAAAATGGTCACGGGAATGCGTCCAATGCCAAAAGTCAAAAGTACATAGGCACATCATATCTCCTACCGGAATTTTTCCCGCCGCTAGCGCTAGGTTCGACCATATTCATATCGACATTGTTGGGCCGTTACCGATTTCTAATGGTTACACGCATATACTAACATGTATAGATAGATTTACGAGATGGCCCATAGCTGTTCCGTTAAAAGACACGTCAGCATCAACAGTGGCGAAGAAGCTGGTGAAACACTGGATTACAAACTTCGGTGTCCCTACAACAATTACGACCGACCGTGGAACGCAATTCGAAAGCAAACTATTTCAGCAACTTACAGATACTTTCGGTATAAAGAGAATTAGAACCACTGCTTATCATCCGTCTGCTAATGGAATGATAGAAAGATTCCATAGACAGTTAAAAGCCTCTTTGACGGCCGCACGAGGAGATTACAAATGGGATATCAAGCTCCCTTTGATACTATTAGGTATTCGCTCAACCATCAAACAAGACCTCGGTTGTTGTGCTGCTGAGTTGGTTTATGGAACAACATTACGTTTGCCTGGTGAATTTTTTGACCGTGCAACAGATATTCCAGCAGATATAACCAACTACGTACAACAATTAAAACAGCAGATGGAATCCATTAGGTCCGTTAAACCACGAACCCAAAAGGTGAAATCATTCGTACCCAACGAACTAGACAAATGCTCACATGTATTCGTCAGAAATGATAGAGTACGACAGCCGTTACAGACTCCTTACGACGGCCCTTTTAAAATCATCCGAAAGGACACTAAAACGGTTACAGTGGAAAGAGCAGGTAAACATGATACAGTTAGCATCGATAGAGTAAAACCAGCATTTTTAGAGAACACTGAAAAACAGGCAACTGTAAAACCGTCTAAACCCGCAGCAGAGCAAGCACCATTCAAACTACCTGCAACAAGCAACATTTCAAATCAAAATTCAGCAGCAGCACAAACTACAACAAGATCAGGAAGAAGAGTACATTGGCCAGATAGGTATGTAGCAACCACTATATTTATCTAGACCAAATCCTGAGACTACTCTTATAACACATAAAAATCCTACTTTATATTGATTACTATTTTTTTTATTGGCCCCACGGATCACCATTATGCTTACATTTTAACTTTATACAATTCATTAATGTTAAATTTACACTTGTATATACATGATATGAAACGTTTCAACACACAAGCTGTTATTACAATTTTACGCTTACTCATCATATTGAGTTGTACTTTTATTTTAAAAACAGTTCCGTTCTTTATCTCTTTGTCGAACATAGATGTTAATCGAATTTTTTTTTTTTGGTACATAAAAACATCAATGTTCTGGATGGGAGCTTATGTAGCAAGCCCTTTTGGCTACTGTATCATTTGTCTAGTCATTGTAACTCAGACTCAATTCACTATGTTAATTTCGGTGTGTATGATCGAATGCATGTCTGTACATTAACTCTTAAGCTATTTTCCTATTGGTTGCAATGTGCAGATAATCGATAATTTATCCACACCCGATTAACTCTCAAATATATATGGATTTTTAACAGACTCACTCACACTCTCTCTGTTTCATCGTGTGCTTGCTCATCGTGCGCTTGTGGATTATTATTATTCATTAACAATAAACTATCTCTATAACTGGTGTTCAGGCTTTTTAATAATCTCGAGTAAATTCGCAATTCTACTAGGAGATTAAGCCTAGCTAAAATACTCAGTTACGGGATATTATTATTTGGAGTCAGATATTGAGGACATTATCAACAACATGGTTCAAGCAAACGATCCATCTTTCGAAAACCAACATTGACGGGCCAATACCTTGGTCACAATAGTTACTACCCGGTGCAATACAAATGAGGTTCGGTGAGCGGTCTGTTTAATAGAATTAATCGTGTTCGCACAAACGACGCTATTGATGGGACGTTAGGTTGTTAAACAAAACACTAGTGGAAACTGGCTATCCCTTAAAATTCATAAATAGATGAAACGGTCACGGTATACTGGGGCCTTCTATAACCTTGGCAGAAAGAAACCTGTCTACATCATTTTTCGATTTAGAGGTGATTC